TAGAAAGATGGGCGGCTATACAGGGCTGCCTCGTTAGCTGGGAGATTTGCTGTGTGCCTGATGCTGGGAGCTTATTATAATTAGGAACTGTCAGACTATTAGGAGGGCTATACTTGCCTGTGTGGGGGTGGTAATGGTCGACGGGGTGTTAGGTTATGTTTGGAAGGGGCTAGTTCAGCAAATTTATAGTGTAAATAAGGGAAAAGTTAACTTACTTAACAGTAAAAGCCAATAAATGGTTTTTAAGCACCATTAAGACCATTTTATATGCAAACACTGTTGCAAAACAATGAATGTGATCATTACACCACGTCTTATGTTCTTTCTAACATGCTAATGAGGATCTCTGAGATATGCAGACCGAGCCCCCAATTCCTTATCCTGGTTGCTGGTGTTATCCAATGCCCAGGCTCTGTGAAGCAGACTGCCTGGTAAGTGAAACAGATAAGTTCTTCATTGTCTAGGGGAGGATGGTAATGCTATTCTCCATGTCCACGAAGAGAGAACAATTACGTACGAGTGGGCACAGGAAACAATAGCAAACTGGAGGAAAAGAAGACATGGATGCACGGGAAAAGGCTTCAGGATGGCACAGAGGGGCGGAGGAAGGTGACTGGATAGAGAAGTCTCTTTATGAAGTTGTCCCTAGACAGGTACACGAAACCACGCAACACATGATCCAGAAACACTGAAAGAGCACCAGGAGGGGATGGGATGGAGGGTGGGCGAGGGCTAGAAACCGCAGCCCCAGATGTCAGGGCTGCAGGGACAGCCCGGCGCACACCCAGACCACAGCCAGGTCGCTGTGCACAGAGCTGAGGGAGCCACGTGGCTTCTGTATCCACCAGCTCATCGTTTGGAACCTGGGACCTCAAAATGCTGATTTTTTTCATTTTAAACAAAGTACTGAGTCTGCTAAAGTTAAGAAGAGTAACATAGGAGTAATGAAGAAGGGAAGGTGTGATTTTTTTTCAGGTAACAACAATCAAGGTTGTTTTTATGTGACATTTCAGTTCATTTCCATAACAGGTGATGTGCTCAGGAAATTACGGTACTGAGAAGGCTCACGGCTTACCCAAGGACACTGGGGCTATTGCGCGGTGGAACAATTTCTCCTAACTCCCAGACCTATGTCCTCTTTTGCCCAAAATGTCTTTCCGGATTAATCCACCCCTCGCCCACTCATCTGTCTGCTACACATCCCCAATGGTGTCTCTACAGTGCATTTTCCACTTATTTGTGGACCTGAGATCTATTATTTCATGTGTGTTTTAGCCAGGTCTGGCTCACAGATTGCGAATTTATGAGGATAGGAGGTAGATTTGAACCCATTTTGCCTCTGACAACATTGTCCCAGATGCACAGACCACAGTCAGTACTGGCATGTGGGGTGACGAAAAAATCAGCCCAAAGTGCAGGGTCCTGAGAGTTGAAGATGATCTCGGTGGTGGTAGAAATGTGCCCCCGGGACTGGGATGAAAAGGTCCCCCCATGGGAGCTGTTTTCCACTAAACCTGGAATCAGCCAACTGCAGCCTGTACCAATTGCAGCCCATTGTCTGGCTTTGGAAAAAAGTTTTATTGGAACACAGGCGCGTTCATTTCTGTGTTGTCTTTGGCTGCTTTTGCATAGAAACAGCAGAGCTGAGAAGCTGATCTGAGACTGGGTGGCCTGTAAAGGCTAAATTATTTACTACTGGGCCAAAGTTTGCCAAACCCTGCCCTAGACTGTAATTGCTACGAGGGCAGTATCCACGTATGTTTAATCATCTTTTCGTAGCAGTGGCTTGCACAGTCCAGCAAACAGTAATCGATCAATAAACATCTGCTGAATGAAGGGATGGATTATTGGGTCTCTTTATGCACATCCTCTCTGCCCAGCTCTGACGAGAAATCAGGTAGAGGAGTGGGACTCAACGCTCCTGTGACAAACAGCTGCACACCAAGTGCCCAGAAGGGTCGAGTAGGGGCAAGGTAGGTGGGAAGCTGGGTAAGAGCTTGAAAGGAGAGAATCCACTTGGGGTGCGGCGGGGAGCCTGTAACTTCACAGGGCCATCCCCGTGTTTGCCTGCAGGGGCTATGCCTCCACCAGGGTCCCTGAAAACAAGCTTTTCTAAATAGAGAATCATTTTTTTCATATCACAAAGGGACAACCACCTACTTATGTGATCACAGGCCAGCCGCTTCATCTCTCCATGCGTCAACTTGAAAATGAGGATGGTATTTGTAATATCAAAGTATTTTCTATTTGTATAGAGTTTGTAGTTTTTAAATGTCTTCACAAAAAGATGGTGTGAGTTTTTATCATTTTCCCAGCCCATATCCAACTGTGCCGCCCAGTGCCCTCTGGCCAGCCATCTACCTTCCCGGACCAGGCGGGACACAGGCAGGCCCCTCCTGCTCCTTTCTGTGCCTATCCTGAGCAAGGTGGCAATCAGTGATAACAGGTTAGCAATTAAACATAAATTAGACCTGTCCTGACTGTCCTTCTTAGGCAACAGCCATGAAGCCATCAGAACAGAACTGCAGATGGCCCTAACCCTAACAGTGGCTGCTCCAGAATTTTTCTACAGGGGTCTTGGGGGCCGGCTGAGGGGAGAGGACTTCGAGTGTGCAGCTTTTACTCAAGTTGTATGTTATTTGGGGAGGCCTGGGGAGATGAAGGATGGAGAGGAAGGGGCTAATGTCATCTTCCTGCCTCTCGTCCCTGATGCTGGCCTGTGAAGACCATGATGCAGTGGTTATAAAAAAAATGCTCCTGGGTTGGAATCCTGCCTCCACATCTTATTAACTGTGTAACCCTTTTACCCTCTCTATGCCTCAATTTCCTCACCTGTAAAATAGATACAATAATATTACCTATTTTGTGGTGTCGTTATAGGGAGGGAGGGAGTTAATATGTGAGAAGTGCTTAGAGTAGTGTCTAGCACACCATACGTAAGTGTTCAGCAAATGCTTAAGTTTATTATTTTTTTCACTAATTATTCAAAAAGATTTCTCAAATGTCTACCAAGAGCAGATATTAAACTGGGCCTCAGGAAGAAGCAGACTCAGAGGTATATTGGACAAAGCCAGGTGGATCTTGGAGCACACCTAGGGCTGGGTCCGTGTGCTCAGCATGAGGCCCACGTTGGTGTTGTTACAGCGACGGCAGGACAGAGGCTCATCAACATCCCCTTCTACTTGGTATGTGAAGGGAAGTCCCCACTTTACCTCTGTGAATCTCCCTGAGTTTGTTGTAGAGCTGAAGGAACTTCTGGAAAGGATCCTGTAAGCCATTAGGAAAAATCTGGATTCTTCTAACAGGGCAATGCTTCAGTGGGCTCCCAGAGAACACTAAGGAACTTGGAAGGGTCTATATAGATCAAGAAATCATGTTTTCCTTCTCTGAGCCTCTAGAGCACCATATACATGGCTCCAACATAGCCCCATGTCATCACGCTGGACTGTAGCCACAGCCATCTGATATCTGTCCAGGCTGCTCTGTCCTGGGGGCAGTGACAACATTTCATCTCCATGAGCTTTGCAGCCTCTGTGTCCAGTACCAAGAAAAGGTCCCACAAGTGCTGATGGCATTCACCAAGGGGCAATCAACCCTTGACCTCAGGGCAGCATCTCCTATCTACAAAGGACCACTCAAGCGCTAAGTAAATACAAACCAACTGACAAAACACATGACGCTAGCATTTTTACCCTGCAAAACTGATGGTTTGGCTTTCTTGGTGGCCAAAGGGAAAAGAGAACATGCTCAGTTGGGACATTTTACATTATATGTTAGCTCCCCCTCTTTTCTTTTTATAAAACACACTGTGATCTGCATTGTCCAATGCAGTAGTAACCAGTCTAGTGTACTACTTAAACTCAAAATAATTAGAACTAAATACAATTGAAAATTCAGTTCCCCTGTTATACCGGCCACGTTCCATGTGCTCAGCAGCCTCGTGTGGCTGGCGGCTACTGTACGGGACAGCACGGGCACAGGACATGTCTGCAGTCAAAGGGGATTCTGTGGGGTGGCCCTGCTACAGGATCTGTACTGTCACACTAAGAAACGTTCACTCGGGCAAATGAAATGTAACAGCACTTTCACAATCAATAAAGCTAACATAGTGCTCCCCTGGAATATCCAAACCTTTCACGTTTGTTCTCTCATAAGTAATAAGACACAATGAGCTGGACGTTCTGTAGGCCTAATCCACGTTGTTTCTGTTGTTGTTTTAAATTTACGTATCTTTATAAATAGCACTAATTCTGTTAGGCTACTGCAGTGGGCTGTCGGTACCTTGATGCAGTCATGCATGACTTAGAGCAGTTTAACGCGAGGGATGAGTGGGGTGAGCCTGGGAGAAGGGGGCCCATCAATCTCCCACGCCTTGCAGCATTGTTATGGAACATTAATGAGGTTGGGCTGGATGTAAAACCCATCCAAGGCATTATGGATTGGTAACATTCAGTTTCACAGGCACTGGGAATTTCTGAGCTATAATCTTAGTGCTTTTGCTAATGAGTGTTGCGATATGGGGACCATCATTTAACTTCCGAGTTTCAGTTTCCTGTCCTTAAAATGGGGCTGTTCCTGACCTGCCTAACCCGGCGTCCAGAGGATTAATGAGTTAATGTTTGCAGAGCACTCTGAGCTCCTTGCACTAAGGCGTGCTGTGCAGCATGATTTCCATTCATCCTCATGGAGCAGCTGGGAAACATTAGGACTATTATGTTTACTCCATCTAAAATGCATTTTCCTTCCCAGCATTTTACATTACCTATGTTACGCAAACTGAAATCTAAAAGTAAAAAAAGGGCCCACAGCAAGAGCACAGTGGCGAAGTGTGGGTATGCACATAATTTTTCCTTTCTTTAGCACAAGCGTAACACCAGCTCTTCCAGCAGGAGGGAGACAGTAATTGCACTGCAAATTCTCACTTCAGGAGCCTGGTGGTCAATCTTATCAGATGTGGAAAGAAAGTTCTACAATGGCACAACGACACCGTTGACACTTACATGCAATGATATTCCCATATCTGTTCTTCATTCTGTTCTCGTCTTTCTTAGCCGAGTCCCATGGTGCAGACTGCCCTTCAAAGAAGCTCTAGAAGGAAGAGAAAGTGACACTAAGAATTACAATTTTGTGCAGTAAACAGAGGGATGGTAACAATGGAGGATGTTCTTCAAAAAAATGTAGAACAAGGGTCAAGAAGAAAACAATGTCCACGGGAATGAGATAAGGGATTAATAAACTACTTTGCATCTTTTTTTTCTTTTTTTAAGTATGTTGAACCATCCTTGCATCCCTGGGATGAAGCCCACTTGGTCATGGTGGATTATTTTTTTGATGTGCTGTTGAATTTGGTTTGCTACTATTTTAATGAGGATTTTGCATCTATATTCGTAAGGGATATTGGTCTGTAGTTTTCTTTTTTGTTGTGTCCTTTCCTGGCTTTGGTTACTTTACATCTTAAATATTTCATTTAGCTTTTTCTAAACTTTGCTTTCCTTTAGTTAATATCTTACGAACACAGGGATGGAGGATGAAGACAGATCCCATAACCTATCTGTACAATCCAGTAAAAATGGTCACTTGCTCATCCCTATCCTACTTGAATATTCAATACAGAAAAATTAACATTCTCTCAGTTTCTTATATTACCATTTTCAATATTCTTATAGGAGATATAAAGATATTTTTTCCCCCTTAATTACTAACTGAAAGAAGGTTATTTTTGGTTAAAACTGTGGAAGTAGGTAAGCTAAGACTTTATGACTTCAAGGCTAAAATCCTGTAATATCCTCTGCCTGAGTTTTCTCTTCATTTTTAATGGAGCTTTGGTGTTCATTTATTTAAGGATTTGGCATTATTACACCTGGGGTCTTTAATCCTCAGGTTATTAGATGTATATTTTTTTCTGTTGAAGTTATAATGAAAATGTCCTCTATCAATGGACAGGTAAAAAAAAATACCTGGGACTTTTATTTCCACTTCAGTCCACGTTACGTTTTACCTGTATGTAGTCCCCTACGTGAGGGGGTTAGAGGGAAAAGGACAGTCACAAGCAGTTGAGAGTCAAGCAAACTGATTTCTTGTCTTTGCCACACTAACGCTTCTCAGAGGAATCCCCCGGGAAGGAAGAGGAGAAGGGAAGGAAGAAGAGATAAAGGGAGAAGAGAAGAACCAAAGCACCATTCTGGAATGTGTTAGGGCCAGAGAATGTGGCATCAGGGATGTTGTCAGACATGCCCCAGGGTGGCTTTCCAGGTTCTCTCTTCAGGACCGTGACTCTTCTTACTCCCCAGTCTCGAGCCTTCCTGGCCACTTTCACCACTTACAATATTTTGTGATTCGCCTGTGGTTCGACAGAACATATCTATTTCTTTTTATGGGCCCAGCTCTCTGTCATTCGGTAAATGGCCCCTCAGCACTGCTGCGGCAGGACCACCTGCTCACCAACGCCACGGGTCTCTGTGTTCCGCTCCGCCTGCCTGCACGTCACCCGGCACCCTGACCATGTAGTGGATGGTGCTGGCACCTTCTGTGGTTTCCGTGTCTGTCTGTCTCTGCCACCAGGCTGTGGACTCGCTGAGAGCGGGGACTGCATGTTTACCATTTTTGTTTATGTAGTGCCTATGCCTCGTGGTAGAAGTCCAATAATTAATCATTGAATGAATGAACGACTGCAGTGTGTGTGAAGCGTTCTAAGACCTGGAAAACCTGCTTGTCCACAGTTTGCAGTTTTCATTGCAGCACAGTTTGTAAAGTCCGCGTCTTTTGCGTGTGACCTGCTGGGTACTGATACCACTGTTACCACAGAGCCTGGCTCTCATCAGACACTGGCTGTAAAAGAGCCAACCCCAGGTCTGTCCTGCTCTCCGGCTGAAGATCTTGTCCTTAGTACATCCCCAAACAAAACAGCAGGAGCAGACACCATTTTACAACATGTAAGAGTGAAGAGGTAACACAACAAGCCTAAGAGTTAAGAGGTTTAAACTGCCCATCTTAAGTTAAGGTCTCTTAGTTGTGATTACAGGTGGCACTTTATTATCATAATAATTTTTATGTTATATTCATCATTTGAAAAACCATGGGGACAGAGCAGGATCAGACATACTATATAGATATCACACTATATAGATTAGAATATATAGAGAATATTAATAGATTCATGCTGTGCATTGCTAGTGCAAGAGTAAAATAATGTTTGATGTAGGACAAATACAAATAAAACATTTTCAGGCTATTAATAAATTAAGTCAATAAAAACACTGGCAGTAAAAGTCACTAGTTAATTCCATCGAGAACAAGACCTTTATATAATCAGGGGATTTATTCAAAGGTCTATACATGTTTGAATAAATCCAAACATGTAACTTCTATTCTATTATACAATATGCATTTAAAAATAGCTTCAGGGATTTTAAAGTCAGATACTCTTTTTCTGAATAGTGTCTTTGTTACTCTATGAATGACAATCATTTCACAGTTGAGTAATAACTATTATTTGACTTCCAACAATTTAATTCTACTTTGAGTTCATCATGATTTAATTATCAATTTTACTTCCTTCTGCCTTTTCCACCCGTTTAAAAAGTTCTTGTTTTTTGTAGGAAGAGGGAAGAAGGTAACCGACTTCGAGAGAGACCTTGCAGTCTTCCAGCAAACCCACGGCTTCCAGTCAGAGAGAAAATGCTCCCACATCACCTGAGCCAGAGTCCCCTCCCTCTCTGGACAGAGGCCTTGCTGTGGGGAACCATGCTCACCGCACAGCTGCGTTTCTTTAGCGTTTGTGGTAATCACAGCACTTCCGATGCCTTGCATTTAAAAACAGTTATTTTAATTTTATTTTTTTTCATTTAATTGGTGACCAGGAAACAGACACAATCAACAAGGGAAATAATAACCCCTCCCATTCCATCTGAGCACAACAGGTCCCAAGGTGTTTTCACAAGGGTGGTGCCCAAGTGTTACCCGTTTCCGAGCACTAACTATGACGCTGCACATAATGAGTTGCTAGTGGGCCTCAATAAGTGGGTCTGCAGATGACTGAGCCACCATCTCAACTGGTCCTCACTAGTGTAGAGCCGGGCACGGAGGGGTGACCGTCCCACTTTACGGCTGAGGGAGATGGACGCCTCGCCAGCTCCTAACACAACCTGGGTCGGACCACGACTTTCTGACGCATAATCCACTGCCCTTTCTCTACCACCCTGATCCTGACAATTACTTTGAAGAGAAAACAGTATTAAATCCACTTGAATACATATGGCCAACAATTGATTTCCATATGTAGATCTTATCTTCTTGTCTCTAAATGAAGGTTTACAACAGGAGAATATAAAAGATGTCAAGTAAACTTTAACTATTGATTACTTGTATAAAATGGGAATTTTTCTTCTGATAATGTGTTCATTGCATGGACAAAACAATCGTAGGAGCAGCTGGAGTTCTTGCAATGAGCCTCCCAGTTTCCTATCCACGAATTATGTGAACAATGAATGGCAAATGTATTTTTTTTTAGGCAAAAGCAAAACAAAACCAGAGGTGCTCTGAGAAAAACATCAGATAGCTAGTGCCTCCACAGATGAATGCCAGTCTCCTGACTCCCTACGGATATGGTGACCATGTCTTTCATTTTCTAGAAGTTTTGCTTCCAATTATATAGCCAATCTGTCCATGAATACATTTGCATTATTAAAACCAGGTGTTCTTATCCTTGGCTTGGAAAATATACTTATGGGAGCCCAGAGAAAGCAGGGAAGGGCTTTCTAGGTTGTTTGCTTTTGTTTCCTTTTGTTATGAAGATTTTTAAAAAAAAAATTTTTTTTCTAAGATCCAGTTTAAAATGTTATAGCTTTTTGATACCATATACTTTCAAAATATTTCAGAAAATATTTACCTTAAAATTTAGACTCCCTCTTAAGCTTAAAATAGGATAAATGTCAACTGTTTAAATTTCTAGTTAGAAAATACACAGTGTATCTATAGCTCCAGAGCCATTGGGTACTCAGAGAAGCCATGACATGATGCATGGGTCTTTCACTTTGTGTGCACCTGGCTGTTTTTCGGGTTGGGATTCTCAGAGCGAGCATAGCAACCGGGGCAGAAACACAGGTCTTCAGTGCCGGAGAATACTATCTCACGTCTGGCATGGACATGCAACTCCAGAGGTGGCAGACATCATTCTTCCTTCCCTGGAGAGACTGAGGCTTCTCTGATGACCCTGTAAATCCACCCCTCCCCTTTTATTTTTCAGACCAACATATGGGCAGATAGGCACCAAGCAACCCACCAGCTAAATATGCCTCAGGGAAGTCCAGTACCTTGGGTTATCTGTAATTTTGCTATGCAATTACTCTATTATGTCCCTTTTCATATACTTTTTGGCTTTTAAATATCTTTTAATAAATTAAGCAAAGTCAATGCACATTTTATGAGATTTTCTCCTGTGCATTTTTCTTTGGGCAAGAACAAAAGGTTCTTCAGCTATCATTTTTTATCTGTAAGAGGTCAAAAGTTATACATGTTCCTTTAAAATTACATAAATTGAATTATTAAATGCTTTGAGAAGAATTCTACTCTGAACCAATATTCTTGGGAAATAAGTAATCACCACATAATTTATGTCGTGTCTAGAGAAGAATGGTTATTATCAAATTTGTTGAAAGTGAGGCCAACCAGGTTTTGAATCCTCCTGGTGCAGAGACAGAAAGAATTTTGCTCCTTAAAGAAGCCGGGATTTTCTGAGCACATGCCAACGACTGGCTTCTGGCTCTCAGGGGAAACTGTGCTCATCTGCTCCTTGTATCTTTCTGTGTCTTGAGACAAAACCTTAAGGTCAAGTTTAAGCGCAACCTTGAATTCCTCCTCTACTTCTCACCTCAAGAGTTTTTCCTTGACACAGTTACAAGCAGGCTCACTACAATCAAATTCAACCAAAGCTCAGGCACAATTTTGAAAAAGAGGCCCAGTAAGGGGGAACAGAAGGGATGGCTGAGGGAACCAGGGCTAAAATCATCATTTAGCACCTGAGGACTTCCCATCCTGGGCGCAGCAACTTAAGGACAAGCTTGGGAGGCAGATGATGATGGCCCATGCTC